CTCCTGGTATCCCATGGGGTGCAGGGCCCAAGCACTTGGGCCATCCTCCACTGCACTCCCGGGCCACAGCAGAGAGCTGGCCTGGAAGAGGAGCAACCGGGACAGAATCCGGCGCCCCGACCGGGACTAGAACCCGGTGTGCCGGCGCCGCTAGGCGGAGGATTAGCCTAGTGAGCCGCGGCGCCGGCCTTAGTGAGCATATTCTGAATAAAATGCAGGATGACTGCAGCACAAGCACCGGTGACTTCACTGACTTCACTGACTTCACAGTGAAGGAACTGGAACTCCACCCACTGCTGAGGCAACAGAGCTGGCAGAGACTGCGTCACATCCAGCAAAATGTCCAGGCACCTCAAGGTGCCCCAGCTGGAGCTCCATGGATACAGAGGGTAGAGAGCTCAGCTGGGACCAGGAGTGTGTCTAATCATGGCTAAGTCATAACTCCGTACTTTGTCTTAGTTCCTTCAGCCATCAAAAGGAAGTCATAATCTTGCGAATTCCTGAGAGATGTGCCAGTTCCGAATAACCATACCTACCCTTTTACTGAGCACCAAGGGTGTTCAGTGGTTTGCCAAGATGACCACAATGTCTCCTTCCATCCCTGCATCCATACCCCTTCTAATCAACTTAGTGGTTCTCCCGTGGAAGGTACTGTTTGTCTCTACCGCTAGGGAGGAAATCACTCTACCACTCTTTGGTGATGTTTTACATTGTGGGAGAGAAAAACAGGGGAAGGAGGAGTGTGAATAGGTTTAAAATCTGAGCCAGTTGATTGGTAATGTTTTCCACATATGAAATATAATATAGAAGTTTTTAGAATTTTGAGAAAATAGTAGAGAAAAAAGTAGATAAATTTAAAAAGCAAATTATTTGTGAATGAATATACACTTACAGGTACATCATTAATCTTACATTCAATTTCTAAACAATTCAAAAAATTAAAACAATGATTTTTTTAAAGACTTATTTATGTATTTCAAAGACAGAGTACCAGAGAGGAAGAGAAACAGTCCTCAAATGGCCACAATGGCAGGCCAAATCCAAGAACCAGGAACTCCATTCCAGTCTTCCTCATGGGTGGCAGCAGCTCAAGGACTTGGACCATCTTTTGCTGCTTTCTCAGACACATTAGCAGGGAACTAGATTGGAAGTGGAGCAGCCGGTACTGGAACCAGCACTCATATGGGATGCCTGCATTTGCGGAGGCTTAATCCACTATGCCACAACACTAGCCCAAAAAGTACAATAATTATCAAACAATGCAGACACTGAGGTGCTAGATTTCCTGCAAAGTTATAAAACTCAAACTGGGGGCCAATGCTGTGGTCCAACAGGTTAAGTAAGGCCCTGGCCTGCAGCACCAGCATCCCATATGAGACCCTGCTAATGCACCTGGGAAAGCAGTGGAGAACAGTCCAGGTCCTAGAGCCCCTGTACCTGGAAGCTCCCAGCTCCTGGCTTTGGATTGGCTCAGCTGCAGCCATTGTGGCCATTTATGGGAGTGAACCAGGGAATGGAAGATTTCTCCCTCTCTGTCCCTAAGTTTCTCTGTACTCTGTCTTTCATATAAATAAAATAAAATCTTTAAACAAAGAAATAAAACTCAATCTTAGGGAGCTTCTCTGACAATGTCATAGCTGAGAAATCACTACACACTGTGCTCCCAGAGGTAACAGAATCACTTTGGCATTTTGCTTCAGCCCATGTTTCCTCCTTCTGGATCATTCCTTTTGCTTGCATGTACCTGGACCCACTCAGGCCCCTAATTAACCAACATACCTATAGGTAAGACATTACAGGCCACTCACTATTTATTTACTTTTTAAAGATTTATTTTTATTTATTTGAAAGAGTTTCAGAGAGAGGTAGAGCCAGTAGGGAAGGGAAGAGAGAGAGAGCGAGAGCGAGAGCGAGAGCGAGAGATCCTCCATCCTGTGGTTCACTCCCCAAATGACCACAACAGCCAAAGCTGAGCTGATCTGAAGCCAGGAGCCACAAGATTTTTCTGGGTCTCCCATGCAGGTGTAGGTGCCCAAAGACTTGGCCATCTTCTACTGCTTTCCCAGGCCATAGCAGAGAGCTGGATGGGAAGTAGAACTGGCACCCATATAGGATGCCGGCACTACAGGCCAGGGCTTTAACCGGCTGCATCACCAGTGCAGGACCCATACTCACTTCTCATTAAGCACCTGCCGGGTGCTGGGCTTATGGCAGGGACAAGAAAGTGTGGATCACGGTCTCTAATAAAGCACAAACGCCTGGCAAAACTCCACCACACTGCTCCCTCCCTTCAGCTTCTCTGGCCACGGGTAGAAAAGATCTGCCAGCCATTGGTGCAGCAGCTGTGGTCCTCTGTCCTGGGGTAATTGTTTCAACTGATGTTCCATGCTCAAAGTCGCCCGTGAGTCACGGTCAGAGGGACTGTCTGAAGCTTCCATGACAATGCAGATTGCTCAGTACTAGCTCTGGGGGCTGCCTCCCTGGCTTCCTCTCCCACCTCCCATTTGGGGTCTTTTAGACGCTTCAGATGTGCACATGCACAGTATACCTAACATCGCAGACAAAATGAGCATTTGAGTTAGAGGTAAACACTTTCCTCCTTGCGTTGATCCAAGTCCCCATCCAAGAACGGTTTTCCGATGTGTTTTCTAAAGCTTCCCTTTCTAGACCTGATCCAAATTTCATTGTATGTAGCTAATCACACAACTGCTGATTGCCTTGGTAACACAGTCATTTGCTAAAAGAGGAAATAAATTCTGAGGTTTATTTAAAATTTTCTATCTGCCAGGTCCCTTATGCTAATTTAGAAATAATTATTTAAAAGCAATAGCTATTAATAGGCTAGAAATTGTAGCAGGAAATATTTCATGCTAGCTGACATTCATGAAAATGTATTAGAGCATTTTTATTAATATGTACCTAACAGTTTCAGTATCATTAATGTTCATTAATATTATCCATTAAAATATTTCTACATATGTAGTCCTCCAATACTTCCTAATTTTTTTAAATATTGTAATTTTTCATATAGGAATTTATGTATGATAAAAAAAGATTCCTTTGAGTAAACTCTAACTTTAGATTTGAAAACAGTAAGGTATTAGTGTTTCAAGGCAACTGTGTATAAATCAGACAAAAAGCCAAGTTTAAAACTTTAAAAGAATTTCTGAGTCCCTATGGTAGATTCACTGCAAAAGAAACTTTAGCCTCATAATTGCTATCTATTATTTACATTCCCATCTGCATTCCTGCGGAATTCCTTGTTTGTTTCTTTTATCAGATCCTGACGGTAACTATAAACAAAATGAATGGACAAGTCTGCAAAACTGAACCCAAATACTAAAAGGCAGAACAGCCAAACTGCACAAAAGGAACCACAACATTCCATTTCCAAGCTTCAGGGTGCTGGCCAGCAGCTACCTTCAACAGTTACCTCAGGGCTTGCTCCCAGTTCCGGAAGTTGGGTAAGCAGTTTTCCCGAGCGATGGACAGGATGGGGCACAGTGCCAGAGTGCGCGCAATTCCTCACACTACACGAAACTACTGCTAGTGCAGTAGTATGCACACCTCCAAAAGCACCCTTTTAAGGAGTGTTTATGCTTATCCTATTTTCAATGGGATCGGACACTAATTCTGTGAGCATTCAAAAATTTAAAAGGTGACCTGGCTTTAGCTTTTTTAATTTATAAAGAATATTACAAAGCTAAGTAGTATACGACCTACTATACATAATATCTATGTGACTCCAAAAAATATAACACGTCACCCAAAGAACCTGAAAGCCTAAGTAATCACGACTAACAGTTGTTGGGCACTCATCATACGTGACAGAATGTACTAACTGCTTACATACAAAAGGCATTCATTCATTCATTCATTCTGTACCTAATGGGTATCTACTTTAGGTCCTAAAAAACAGTAGTGAAAAAATAAAATCCTTGCTTTCATGGAGTTTATATTCCAGTAGGGAAACAATCAAGAATAAAGTAAAACTTAAAGCCTGTGTGATTGAGAAAAATTAAGCAGAGAACGGAGATGGCACAGATTGTGAGAGAGTCTCATTTAAATATGTTGACATGAGCAGGAAGTGAGGGGGTCCAAAACTGAGCCTTGGGGGGATGGTGAAGTTTCCTATGTGCTACTATCTTTTTAGTCCTCATAGTCACACTACAGGTAAGATACTTTTATCGCTTGCCTTTTTTTTTTTTTTTTTTTTTTTTTTTTACTCCGACGAACAGGCGGGAGTGGACAGTGAGAGAGAGAGACAGAGAGAAAGGTCTTCCTTTGCCATTGGTTCACCCTCCAATGGCCACCGTGGCCGGCTCACCGTGCTCATCCGAAGCCAGGAGGCAGGTACTTCTCCTGGTCTCCCATGGGGTGCAGGGCCCAAGTACTTGGGCCATCCTCCACTGCACTCCCGGGCCACAGCAGAGAGCTGCCTGGAAGAGGAGCAACCGGGACAGAATCCGGCGCCCCGACCGGGACTAGAACCCGCTGTGCTGGCGCTGCTAGGTGGAGGATTAGCCTAGTGAGCCGCGGCGCCGGCCCTATCGCTTGCCTTTTAAAGATAAGAGAATTGAGCTAGAAAAATAAAGAGGTTTGTTTGCATTTCTACGTACTCTTTAAAGGGTAAGCTATGGTTCGAACCCAGATCTTCCTCACTCACAAGCTGTGCTTTTAATCACCATCCTCCTGTGAGATCACACAGCTACCCAATAACAAGATTTGTAAGTGCTCAGTTACCGGCAGCTACCTACCAGGATAATGATAACATCGCACTTCAAAGATTAATTTGAGAGGAAAATAATAAGTGAAGCTTGGCTTATTAAAATAAATGAGAAAAATGTGAATCTGCCAGGGAAAACAGATCTAGATGGAGGCAGAGCTTTCTAGTCAAAGCTCTCCAGGCACAAAAAACAGTGCATGATGGGGCGGGCGTTGTGGAATGGTATTGCAGGTGAAGTGGCTGTTGGGGACACTCGCATTCCATATCAGCATACCTGCAATCGAGTCCTGTCTCCACCTCCGCTTCTGGTCCAGCTTCCCACTAGTGCACACCCTGGGAAGAAACAAGTGGTATCTCAATACTGAGTCCCCTGCCACCCACTCAGGAGACCCGGAAGGAGCTCCTGGCTTTGGCCTGATCCAGCCCTGGCTATTGCTAGGAAGGAACCAGCAAATGGAGGATCTCTCATTATCTGTGCCTTTTCAAATAAAAGACGAACAGTTTGTAATGTGCAATGCACACACACACACACACACACACACACGGGATGTCCCTGTAGGGGCAGATCCTGACAGCACCTTTCGAAGCAGCAGAGGGGAGAGAAAGCAGGGCCCGGAAACAGAGCTCGTGGCTGGAACTCTGTCGTCACCTGACCTCCAGTTCACCCCGCGGTTGTCTATTAAATCTCAGCCTCAGCGTTGGGTGCTTGCATCTGGCCCCATTACCGGGCTTCACGCAAGGTGTAATTTACCTAAAGACAGGTCCTGCGGGGGAGGGGGGGCGGAAGGATGGCTTCCAAGCCCCTGCCCACGACTCCCGCTTAAGCACGGCCTTCCACACGCCCCGGCCACGTGGCCTGCGTGGAAAGGGTGCCGAGGACAGTCACCCACACACCTGTGCATTAAGGGCGGCGGGCTGGAGTAACACGACGGGGGGGGGGGGGGGGGGGGGCGGAGCAAGCCCGGGGAGGGGGGTTCACAGCAACTGCGTGACGTGGGGCCACGGGGGAGTGTGAGCACACGGACCCAAGCGAGGCCCGGGGAGACGACCCTGCTGGACTGCCAGGGTGCCCAACGAGGGCAGTGGGCACGGCTGGCTTAGGCCGCACCCCGGAGGGCCAAGGACCCTGGTCTGCCGTCAGCCGCGCGGGAACCCTCACCAGCCGGAGTGCGGTTCCGGGCGGCCCTCGCGGGGGTCGCCCAGCCTCCCTCCGGGACCCCCGCCGCGCCGGGCGCCTCCCGGAGCCCGTCCGCGGGGGCGAGCGGGACTGTACTGGTACACTCTGTGAATCTGCAAGGGAAAACAGAAGCTCTCCGTGAGCACGAACATATGCTTCTGGGAAGGCATCTGCGCAAAAAGTACACAGTCCTGAAGTTGGACTGAGGAAAAAAAACTTCAAAAAAAAAAGAAAAAAGCCTCGCACTTCCCACGGCCTGCCTGCGGTCGCCCCTTCTCACCCGCAGGTCCGGGAAAACCCAGAGTCCCTGGAGCGGCTCTCACGGAGCCTCACGGACCCGGGCGTCCCGAGGCGGGCCTCGCGGCAGGCTCACAGGCGGCGCCGCCGGGCGCACCTGCCCGCAGGCCGGCCTCTCCCTCCGCCGCGCGGGCGCCGCAGCCTCCCCGAGGGCGGGGCGCGGCCACGGCCACCGAGCCCGGCGATCCCGACGACGTGCGCGACCCCGGCGGGCCGCGCGCTCCCACCGCCTGCCGGGGGCGCGCAGCCGCCCGGCGCCCACGCCCGGCCCGCGCGAGTGCGCGTGCCCGGCCGCAGCCGCGCCCCCTCCGCGGTGGGCTTAATCCCCCGGAGCCACTGCCTCTCCCGGTCGTGGGACCTGGTCCAGTATCAGGATCCAGAGCGTGGAATGTGTCGGACCCTCCCTGCTCGGCTGCGGCTCCTCTCCCGCAGGTTCCGCGGCAGGCGAGCGGCGGCGGCGGCGGTCGTCCCTACCGGCCCCATGGCAGCGCCCGGCACCCCGGCCGACTGCGGCTACATCCGCACGGTCCTGGGCCAGCAGATCCTGGGACAACTGGACAGCTCCAGCCTGGCCCTGCCTTCTGAGGCGAAGCTGAAGCTGGCGGGCAGCAGCGGCCGCAGCGGCCAGGCGGCCAAGAGCCTGCGGATCCAGGAACAGGTGCAGCAGACCCTGGCCCGGAAGGGCCGGAGCTTCGTGGCCAACGGTGAGTGCAGCCCCGCAGGGCCCTGCGGCGCCCGCCTCGCCGCTACCCGGGGGTGCGGGACCCGGCGCACTGCCCACCTGTTGCTCGCCGCCCCTTTGTGTGGCCGGCCGCACCTGCGGGGCGAAGCCGCGGCTCCGTGGCCTTTTCCGCGGCGTTGTGTCGTGCGCGTGTGCATGTTCAGTGCACACGCGTGTGTGTCCAGGACTTCACCCCTCCGGGGCTTGTCCCCCGCCCGCCCAGCCCCGCTGGTGCGGGGGCCCCGGCCCGGAGGCGCGGGAGGGGTCCGTGAACACTTTGCAGTTCTGTGCAGAATTTGGCTGTGCGTGATTGTCTCTCTGGGAGGAAGTCCCCTTGGCGGTTATGAGATCTCTTAAGACTCCACGATATCAGTAATTGCATCTCTATATACATTTTAAAGAAAACCTGAAAGCCGTCGCGCTCCTGTAACTTGTAAATTGAGCCGCGGCGGTGGTTGATCTAGGGAGTGGACCCAGCGCCGTGGAGGCTTGGGGCCGGGCAGCAGGGGGAGGAGGACGACGGCGAGCGGGCAGAGGTAGGGGACTTTGGCCCTGCTGGCCGCTGCCGGCGGTCCACCCAGCTGCGCCCGGCTCCAGAGCGCGGGCTGCCCCTCCTCCACCACGCCCCATCTGCAGGCATGGGTGCAAGGCGGGCGTCTCTGAAAAGCCTCGCCCGAGGTGCGAGGGTTTACACACGCGCACACACACACACACACACACACACACACTGTGTAGGCTTCCAGAGCAAAGCCGTTGTGAAGATGAGGCGCCGGGTCCTGCCCGCTTGTCCCCTCTGCAGTGGCTGCCCCAGCGACTCAGTAACTCCCCTTTTAGTTGAGGACTGGGTTGCTTCTCTCTTCTCTGCGGGTTTGCCACAGGCAGAAGGGGAGAGAAGGAAGGGAACCCTGAACTAGGCGCCGAGTGTGGAAGGAACTCTTAAGAAAAAATGAAAATGTCCACAGCCCAGAGCACAGATGACAGCCAGCGGAGAGTCCAAGACGCTGTCCTGTTTTCAGTTTGCGCCTGTAGGAGGGCAGGCAGTGTCCAGAGACCTGAAGGTAAAGAGAGAATGCTTAATGTTCATATGTGTGCCTACTCTGTGCCAAGAACTGGGCGTTGTAGATTCCTCTCATGATATTGTTTGTACTGAAAACACAGACGGACACTTGTGAGCTAGGTATTTTTTTTTTTTTTAAGATTTATTTATTTACTTGAAAGTTTGGAGGAGAGAGAGAGCTTTTCCATCTGCTGGTTCACTCCCCAGATAGCCACAATGACCCTGGCTGAGCCACACTGAATCCCAGAGCTTCTTCTAGGTCTCCCACATGGCTGGCAGGGGCCCAAGCACTTGGGCCACGTTCCACTGCTTTCCCAGGCACGTTAGCAGGGAGCTATATTGGAAGTGGAGCAATTGGGACACAAACTGTCATTCATGGGATGCCGGCTTTGCAGGGGGTGGCTTTACCCACTATGCTACCCGCCAGCCCTGAGCTAGGTATTTTAATTCCTATTCACAGACGAGGAGACTAAGCGGTTAAGTAATACGCGAGTTACCACAGATAGTGAGTGGCAGAGCTGGTATTTTAAACTCCCAAACCTGAACTTTTAAACTGCTGGTCACTTAGATCATTCCATTTTGTGATTTTCTTTTTTAAAATACAAGTGGGATTTCATACACCTGTGACCAGTGGAGTTACTGTATCTGTCAAGCCAGCCTGGGCACCAGAACAGCTTAGAAGACACACAGTGCGTATAGTAGATTCTCCTACTGTCCTCTGAGAATGGCCAGCTAGCAAGAGCAGCTGGACATCAGCTATTCAGTTAGCAGGGAATGGAGCCAGGAACAGAAGGAAATCAAGTATTGCTGGATCTCTGCTGTGTCTCCAAGAATCATGTGTTTGCATTTCATTATATCCTCAAAAAACAGCTACAGGAGATACAGGTGAAGATTCACTTCACATAGGAAGTATTTGTCAAAATTTGTTAGAAGTGTAGTCCCAGCCCCACAGACCACCTATCCTCTCTACAGTGCAATGTATCAACCGTTTCAGCAACTAGCCAGTCAGTCTGTTCTCTGTGCGGGGCACAGCCTAGGTGCTGCATTAAACACACAGTCTGCTTGCTTGAAGCAAGAAGTTGACAGCTGCCAGAAGGAAGCCTCCCTCTAGAAAAATCCATCACCAAACAGAAAAGAATAAGCAGCCCAAAAGAACAGCTCCTCATTACGGAGCTGGGAAAAGTTACTTCTGGCTGATGGGGATTCTGGGAAGCCACATGGAAGGACTGGGCATTTAGATCTCAAAACTTCAGTAGGATTGGACGGAGGAGGGGCTGGAGAAGGAGCCTTCCCCAAGGGACACCATGAATATTTCACGGTCACCGTGTTGATAATGATAGAACAAAGGGCAGGGTCTCCCGGCTTCTGCTCTAATGCTTAGGCTAACTACTTGAATGACTCCTCAACTAAGGAACAAAGCATTTGAAATATTTTGATTACAACAGCAGCTTCCCAGCGAGCTGCAGTACACTCAGCAGCCTACACAGAAGTGCACACCAGGCGGAGAGATAAGGCAGCAAACACCTACGTGCTTGGAAGCCTTTGCTTTCTGAGGCTTGGACAGGAAACCGGCTTCAGAGGAGTTTACCATGAACATGCTATACAGCAATTATGAAGGCTGGTTCGGATATGTCATTTAATTAAAGTTCTTTGGAACGGTCTAGGGGCTCGTGATGGTTGTGTCTGTTGCTTTTATTATATCCGTAGTACTATCCTGTCTCTAAAGTTGGAACAGACTAGCAATTGTTGAAACAATGCAGGCCTGGAAAGGATCCTGTGTCAACACAAATCCAGGGAAGAGAGGACCCTGGTGTCAAGGGCCGTTAGCGCCAGGGCCCCGGGAGAATTGTGAATTGTTGACATACCTGTGAGTTGAAGGCAGCACATAATCTGCTGAAACCCAATGAGCTACATGTGGCTGATTTGTTGATAAGTCCTTTGCAAGGGTCTTAAACCCTTTTCTGACTTCTTTCTAATGTCTGCAGCCTGGGGGCCGGGGGTTCATTGTAAGTCACTCGGTGACATTTGGTGTTATTTTCAACTGCCAAACATTTTACAGTTGGCCGTAACTCGCTGGCACAGCAGCACTGAGAGATGATCTGCAGTGTAGTGAATTCTTTCAGTCCTCTAAAAATCACAGAGGAGAAATGGTTAACTATCAGCAAAGGGAGAAATTAAGTGCCTGTCTCCCACTTGCCTGGAAACTGCTCCTTTTCTCACTGTGCAGTTTTCCCCACGTGCCTAAGCAGGAAAAAGAAAGCCATATTTTAAATTGTCATATATAATGCTTCATAGCACACAGTAAAAGATGTCAGCCTGCCATTTACTACCTCACTGGAAATCTACCCTAAAAACTTGAGGCATATCATTTACTTAGCTGGTTTCTCTGGTGAAGTGGCTTTGAGAACTGAATTCTGGAGCGAGAAATGAAAATTGGCTTGAGGTGGCAAAAAAGGCAGTTCATAGGTGATAATAGGGTGTGGGTGGGGGAGTGTTTGAGAGGGGAGTTCGTGTTCAGATTCTATACGATCTCCGCTTGCCAAAGAGGAATTCCAGGTATGAAGCCATTCTGGGATCGAGGGCACTCCTCATTCAGAACAGAGCAAAGGAGGGGAACTCAGCTAGTGTGGAGCCAGACCCTGGCCCTGCTGTCCTCAGGGTAAGGAGTTCAGATGCCTCCTTGTCTGCCCAGGGGCCACTCCGTGTTCCACATCCAGCAATGAGTACAGTAAGTCCAGAAAAACCAGTGTGTGGTTTTGTTTTTGCCTTAGCCATGCCTTTGTGTATCATCAAATGAAATGGAATGGTTACAAAGTGGTGATTTCCAGAAATAAGCCCCGCAGCTCTAAGAAATGGTGAGAACGTATCATGGGGCACTGAAAGATTCTCTGGGTGAAAGACACGCTTGACAACCATGCAGAATGGCGTCATAACACACGTTCTCCGTGAACTTTTTGAAAACCGCGTGGTCCCTTCGAGGGTGAGGTTTTGAGTGAGGCTGTGTTGAGGAAGCTTCGAATCAGTGGAGTGAGAGGAAGCCCTAAAGAGCCCCCGAGTCACAGATAAGACGCAGGAAGTTGCTTCCAGAGAAGACTGTTCACCCCACCTTGTTTCTGCGAGCCCCTCTGTGTGCGGGCTGTGCCCTGTGCTGGTGGCTCCCGTGCCACGGGAACAGTCAGTCAGTGGCTCACTCGAGAGAAATTCACTCGGGATTTGTGGCTCAGCTCACCACGCTCATTCTCTAAAGTGTGATTTTCGATGTCAGCTTAAAAAGTTTTTTTCTCCTGGGTTAAATTAAGGCCATACATACTGACATTATTTTCTCTCCAGATTGGTGTGGTGTCAGTGTTACACTGAAATTGAATTTCTGGTCTTTTCAATACAAATTAT